TCCTGCTGATATTGGACAGAGGACGTGCCGGGTGTTTGAAATCAATCTCTTCTTCCTTGGATCATTTCTCTTGTGCTCCTAAGAGGCTGCATTATATACAGCCATGTCAGGCCCCCAGCCCCATGACTTTGTTCGTCAAGAACTCGAAGAATGTGTCCGTTTTTCCAGAAAATGTTTTCTGTGTTAGGCTTTGTTTGTACTGGAGCACTTTGAAGACGAAAAGCTGAACTTCAGCATACTTGTAATATGTTTTAACAAGGTTTAAATTCACACTGGGCCAAAATGTGCCCCCCCCCTCCCTCCAATCCCCTCCTAACAGCTTCTGGCTCTAAACATGACTCCTTTGAGGGTTTAAAAAAAACCAAAACAACCCACAGAGGCATGTTTTATTAAAAATATATATTGAATATGAGTCAGAGAAAAGCAGAGGTCGGAGCTGCCTGTTACTGGTGCATAAAGCAACATGGAGCTCGGTGGTGGGGAGGCTGCACCAGCGTCCCCCCTGGCATGGGATGGGTCACCCCAGCAGCACCCACCCTTGCTCTCCTGAGCTCCTTCCCAAGGCCACACAGTGTGGAGTTTTCTTCCAGAATGGCCTGAATGCAGTTGGCTTAACCCTCCCCTATTTCTTACTGCCATTTAACTCATCTATTCCCAATCTCCACAGACTTTGCAGTTGGGTGGTCCTTGCTCATCCCCACGTGCTGAGGCTTTAGTGGCTGTGGCTTGGCAGGGAATGGTCTTTAAACTGACCTGGCAGATGCATCTGTTGTGCCAGACGTGGTCAGGTCAGCTCGTTATCAGTGTTGGAGGTGTATGTGGCACTGCCAAGGTGACACTTCCTGGCACCAGGGTGTCTGGTGCCCTGGGAGGGTGAACTGAAGTGGGGATTTGCTTTTAGAAAGTGGTGAAACCCAAGGGGGTACTTGCCCATCCTTTGTCATCTGAAAAATCCTTTGTTGTTCTTGTGCCAAGTGTTTAGCCCTTGGATTTTAAGTAAATTCTAGCTTATTCATGGGGTTTTTGGTTACTGCCACAAATATTTGAAGCCCCATCTGCAATCTGGACCAATTAGGTAATTAGAGACAGGCCCTGCCCTGAGAGCTGACAAACTTAGAAGATGTGAGACAGAACCAGCAAGTAGATCTTTGGGTTTGTTTTTAAAACGTATTAAGATTTGTTCATTTTTGAGGCTGATTTATGATCATTTCGGAGAATGAATTGACAAGAACTGAAAGACCCATTTGTGCAAAACATCTCTTTAACAAAAAAACCCCACTTTCTTTTTTCCTGTTGCTTTCTGATAGTCTTGTGCTTTGAAATGGTTTGTTTTAAGACAGCTGAATGGTAACATAAGAAACTGGCTCTTTTTTGTTCTCGTTTCCCTGACTTATGGTGTTTAGATTTGCATCAAAAGAGATTTTACTCATGCAAGGCTTCTGATCTGGAGAGAGAGGGCGTGGGGTGTTGGCTTATGGAGAGTAACAAAAAATGTTGAGACACAGAAATTGTTTGAAAAATTGTAAGGAGTCCTTTCACCTTCCATTTCATTTGGGTGATGGTCTTACTGGGAAGAATATTCCAGCTAAGCAGTGGCAGTGGTTGGAGAAGCCTGGGAGCACGTAATCCAGCGTTTTATCGTGTCTGCTCTTCCTCTTTTCTAGAGTTCTTCAAAGAACTGCTTGAGAACGCCGAGAAGTCGCTGAACGACATGTTCGTGCGGACTTATGGCCGTTTGTACATGCAGAACTCGGAGCTGTTCAAGGACCTCTTCGTGGAGCTGAAGCGCTACTACGTGGGTGGCAACGTCAACCTGGAGGAGATGCTCAACGAGTTCTGGGCCCGCTTGCTGGAGCGCATGTTCCGCCTGGTCAACCCCCAGTACCACTTCACGGACGAGTACCTGGAGTGTGTCAGCAAGTACACGGAGCAGCTGAAGCCCTTCGGGGACGTGCCCCGCAAGCTGAAGCTGCAGGTGACGCGGGCGTTCGTGGCCGCCCGCACCTTCGCGCAGGGCCTCGCTGTCGCCAGGGACGTCGTGAGCAAAGTGTCTGCCGTGAGTTCCATCTTGTGATTGTTCCCCTGTCCCGCAGACCCGTCTTTCCCCGTTTGTTCTGGCCAGGGAGCTAAAGGTGTTGGTGGCAGTTGAGTGCAGGGTGGCACCAAACCCCATCTAGGTAGGCTGTGCTGTTGTGTGGTGGAGTCACGTTCTGGGGACGTCACCGTCCAGTGCTGCAGCTCAGCAGTGGGGGTGTTCCCCAGGCTGATGTGGTCCTCTAGGGAACAGCAGCCAGCAGGAAATTAAAGACCTTCTGCAGTGGGTATAACCATGTTTGCTTGTGTAATGGCCGTGTCATCTTCTTAATATTGCCTTCAGATGACAGCGAGTCATGGATGCTTTGGGCATCTGTTACGGAGCAGCTGATGATCTGCTCCTGGCTCCCAGGTGCAGGAGAGGCTGTTAGCAGCAGCAAACAGCACTTCTGTGATAACCGTGGGCTGGGGCTCTACACACAGGGCAGCAGCCAGGAGAACTTGGTGCCACACGTGCAGCATGACCTAGACCTCAAACTTCTATGGTAAAGTCACTTCTTTGAGGGGGGTCAAACAGATGTGACGTGTCAGTCATTTCAGTGTTCACCTCCCTCTTCTTCTAAACCACTTTGGAGTACTTTAAGTGGGGTGACTTCTTTTGACATGAGATTTGTCTGTAGCTTAGTCTGGGCTGTATGGCAGAGGGAACAGGTGTCCTCAATAATCCCCTTACAGTGATTGTGTGAGACAACAAATATTAGTGATTTCCTTTTAGCAAACTCCACTCATTTCCTGTGGCCTGTAGAAGATTTAGTATAATCATTTAATCGGGCAGAGAGAGGTTGACTTTTTCTCTGCCTGGTTACAGAGCAGTAAAAGGCCAGGCTGAAAGGGCAGGCAGTAGTTTGAGTCACCCGCAGCACTGGGAAAGAAGGAAAAAAAAAAGAAATAGAAGGAAAACTGAAAAGAATGGCTGTTCAGGTACTTCTAGAAGCAGAATTCTATTTTGGAGGTAGCACAAGCAGTATCGTTAAGTGAGATAATAATTCAAATTGCTTTGACTTACAGGGATAATATTAAAATACTGTCTCTCTGGAAAGAAGCATAAAAATCTTCTTCCACATTAATCCTTCTTGAAGAGAAATGTGGAAAATGGCCTGTGATAAAGCCTGCATGTGGGTGATAGGGCAGAGAATATTGGCAAGGAAAGAGCTGCCAAGCTAACATATCCAGGCTCCAGGAGCAAGTTGTCAATCAGCAGTGACAGGCTTAGGTCCTTGAGTCCCCATTTAATAATGACTCTGGCATGAGACACATCTGTGTGCCACTGGTTGAGGGTGAGTGTTGTGGACCTCCCTGGGTGATGTGTGATGTCCCTCTTACAAGACCAGAAGATCCTCCAGCATCACAGATGCTGTCCTGTCGTGGGAAGGAGGCGTGGGACAGAGGGTTGGTGCTGGATGAGGCCAAACATTGTGTCTCTGTGTCAAGTCACTGGCCAAGCCTGCCAACCTCTAGGCTGGGATATCACATTTAGTGAATCTTGTTTCTGGCTGTGCAGCCTTGGGATATATGTTGTGGTCAGAAAGAAAGGGGAAAAGAGTTTTCAGTGCTGGAGAGTGTGAAGGAAGTATTCGGGTGGGAGATCTGTCTGCAAAGCCCCAGTACAGTTTTTGGGAATGTGCAATCACTTGATAGGCAGTAAACGTGCATGGGAGAGGGATCGTGTTTATGCTCCATCTGCTCAGAATTCATCAAAACGTCTCCAGACTTGACACCAGACCACGAGGGCTACGGTTCCCACATCTGTTCTGAATCAGAGTCTTGAACCCGAGGTGGCACCGTGATTTCTCTTT